TTCGTTGTTGATCTGCACGCTTCAAGTAATTTTCTATCTTGGATCTTCTTCTACGTATGGATCTTAGGATGTTAGTGGATAAATTTTTTTGATTTTATTGCATATTAGTCTGCCTACTTTACTTTCATAAATTAGTAGAAGATGATGAATTTGAGGATATGTTTAAAGATAGTTTTTATCTCGCATTTACAAAATTTTCTCGTCAAACCTGTTAATGTGATATTTTAAAACATTATCAAGAGGAACAAGGAAAAATAGTTTTTTATTTTAAAATTTTAAACTGTAAATTTTCAACTTCTTATATTTGGACATCTAGAGCACAAACTAGTTATTTATGTATAACAACACACTAGATTGATGAAAAATGGCAAATATTTAAAACAATTGTTTTCTTTATTATAATTAAAGAGTCACATACTGGTATTAATATTGCAAATTTAATAATTGAAGAACTTATGAAACTAAAAATTAATCAAAAAATATTTTCTCTTTCACTAGATAATGCAAGTAATAACAATATAACTGTTGATTTTATCAAAACAACTCTATTATTATCATGTCATGGTGATCTTTTCATATTAGATGTATTTATCATATTTTAAATTTAATTATTCAAAGTGTATTTATTAAAATTAAATGCATGATAGAAAAGATTAGAACAGTTGCTAATATGCATAATGCTTTTGAACAAAGAATTAAAAGATGAAAACAATTTTGCAAAAGAAAAAATTATAAGCCCAGATTAATTCTAAAAGATGTTGACCATAGGTGGAATTCTACCTATACAATGTTAAGTGTGGTAATAGAATATAAAAAAATTATAAATGATTTTATAAATTATTATGCTTCTAGTTTTAGCTCTGGTAGCACTTATGGAATAACTGAAAATGAATAGACAATTATATGTAATTTAAATGAGATGTTACAAGTTTTTTATGATGCTCCAATGTTATTATCTGGCTGTTATTATCCAACTATTACTTTAGCTAATTTACAAATTTTAAATATTTAAATTTTTTTAACAAATATCGTATGAATGATACTTTTGGAGCTATAATTTTTCAAATGGAGAGCAAATTTAATAAGTATTTTAGGCATATTCCTCATATTTTTAGTTTAAAAATTAGTTCCTAGACCTAACAATGCTAGTGTTATTGGTACTAAATGGGTTTTTAGAAACAAACTTGATGAACATGGCATTGTTACTAGAAATAAAGCCCGTTTGGTTGCCCAAGGATACAATCAAGAGGAGGGCATAGACTATGATGAAACATTTGCACCGGTTACAAGGTTAGAATCTATTAGGATGTTTTTGGCATTTGCTAGCTTTAAAAATTTCAAATTATTCAAATGGATATTAAAAGTGCTTTCTTGAATGGTTTTATAGAGGAGGAAGTATATGTTGAGCAACCCCCGGTTTTATAGATCATGTTTTTCCTAATCATGTTTACCGGGTTCAAAAAGCTTTATACGGGTTGAAACAAGCTCCTAGAGCTTGGTATGCTCGCCTCTCTAGTTTTCTTGTTGAAAATGGTTTTTCAAAAGGAACAATTGATAACACTCTTTTTGTGAGAAAAAGGAAAAATGATTTCATTTTAGTTCAAATATATGTTGATGATATCATTTTCGGTGCTACTAATGAATCTTTGTGCAAGGAATTTTCTAAGGTTATGCAGGATCACTTTGAGATGAGTATGATGGGAGAGCTTACATTCTTTCTCGGGCTTCAAGTTAAGCAAACAAAGGATGTGATATTTATTTCTCAAAGCAAGTATGCTAAGGAATTGGTGAAGAAATTCAATTTGGAGAACTCTAAGCATGCGCCTACTCCCATGAGTACGAGTGTTAAGCTTGATGCGGATGAAAGTGGTGAAGACGTGGACCAAAAACTATACCAATGTATGATAGGTAGTCTTTTTTATCTCACCGCTAGTAGACCCGACATCATATTTAGTGTGTGTGCATGTGCATGTTTTCAAGCATCTCCTAAAGCATCTCATTTAATTGCGGTTAAAAGAATCATTAAGTATGTTAATGGAACTTTTAATCTTGGTTTGTTTTATCCAAAAAGCACCTCTTTTGATTTATATAGTTTTTGTGATGCCGACTTTGCCGGATGTAAAGTAGATCGCAATAGTATGAGTGGAACATGCCAATTCTTAGGAAATTCACTTGTTTCTTGGGCTTCCAAGAAACAAAATTGTGTTGCATTGTCCACTACGGAAGCGGAATACATTACCGTCGGCTTATGTTGTGTTCAAGTTTTATGGATGAAACAAAGCTTAGTTGACTATGATTTGAAGTTTCAAAATATAAAAAAAATTTGTGATAACACTAGTGCTATAAATATTTCCAAAAATTCAGTTTTGCACTCTAGAACCAAGCATATTAATGTGCGCTATCATTTCTTACGCGATCATGTTGAGAGACAAGATGTATCCCTAGTATTTGTTGATACAAAATCTCAATTAGCGGATATATTTACTAAGCCTCTTGGAGAGGATGATTTTTGTCGCATAAGAAATGGTTTGGGCTTATGCACTATGTGAAAGTTCTACATTTGCTTGCTTGTTTAGTTGCATTTTGCATTTTTCTTTACCCCATTTCTTTTTTTGACAAAGGGGGAGAGAAATCTCCTCATTTGTTGCATATATTTAGGGGGAGCTCATAGATAGGGGGAGCACCTATCTATAAGCTATCTTATCAAGACTCAAGCATTGCATTCTATATGAGGATACTAGCTATCTTTTATTTCTTCTCTCTAGTGCTAGAATGTAGGCAAAGAGTTACTGACTTCACTTGAAGCTATTGGGATATCACACACACACGTTTTCATACTTGTTTTTAAGCGTTTTTCATAAAATACTATTTTTCACAAGTATGAGGACCTATCTGCAAAATTTCTTTTCCAAACAATTTATTTTTAGCATTAAAAACATTTTACAAAGTTTCATAATTTTCAGAGATCAAATAAATATTTTTCAAATATTTTTGTTGAGTCTAAAACAGTGTTTTGGGATGTATCAGAATGCGGTCGACCGCACCGGTCGACCGCACTTATGTTCATTCCTCTCTGGGCAACAGAGAGTTCGTCGGTCGACTGCCGCGGTCGACCGAGAACTTCCTTCGGTCGACCGCACCGGTCGACCGGACAAGTCTCTGCTTGTTTTTCTCTTTTCTGATCTGGTTAGCGGTCGACCGAATTTTCCGTCGATCGACCGAACATTTCCATCGGTCGACCGGAATTTCCGCCGGTCGACCGCCGTATTATTCAAATGGTAAACTCTATCCTTTTTGTGGCGCCGCTCAGTACAGATCTCAGCGACGTTTTGTTCCAGATTTTAGGGGATTAAGGGATGGGTTTAAACAGCTGTTTTTCTCCTATTTAAACTCCACCTCTTCATCTTCCTCTCTGTCCCAGCTTTTGCAAAAACCAGTGACGCTGTTTTTCTCAGAGCTTATATTTTTAAAACCTGTTTTCACTGAGTTTTTGTGTGTTCACTTCCCAGCTTCAGTGTGCTCTCTCTCTTTGCCATAGGTTCACTTCCCAGCTTCAGTGTGCTCTCTCTCTTTGCCATAGGGACGTTGTAAAGAGAGAGTCTTACACTATTTCTACTATCTTGTGAGTGTGATCTTGTGTATAAAGAGAGAGTCTTACACTATTTCTACTATCTTGTGAGTGTGATCTTGTGTAGATCAACTGTGAGAGAATGTGATCTAGTGAGATCAACTGTGTAGTGTGAGATCGTGTGGGGATCGCTGTGTAAACGAAGTTCCGGCTTCCAAACCGGGTTGTGTAGTGGATTTCTCCTCGAGAGTGGGGAGCGGGGACGTAGGTCAGCCGACCGAACCTCGTTAACATATCGCGCGTCACAGGATAACGATTCCTAACCCTATCTCCTCTATTTTGATTGCATTAGATTACTGTGGTTTGCTTGTCTTAATTTTATTGCATAATTATAGCCTCTTGACCCTAATCACCCCCCCTCTAGGGTCCAACACACATGACATGCTTAGATCCGTATATTGTACAAGAGGTGATGTGCTTACAAGATTGGTGGAGGTACGAGAAGAGAACGCAAGGCATCGATCGGATAGCTGAAATTAAAGATAAATTTGAAGAGTTGGGACTAGCAGATAGATATAAAGATTAAACAATATTCATCAAATTGTAATTTTTATTTCTTAGCTTTAAATTTGTAATGAATTATTTTAGAAACAGTTACAAATGATAGTGATATAGGTGAATAGGTACCAACCTAGTTATGATGTACTCATCTATTATGATGCGACGAATTCCGAAATAAATTTATACTTGTAAATGATTTACTGATTATTAATAAGAAGTTATTTTTATCATCTTTTATTTTGATAATTTTTTGTATTTGTAATTTATGTCATTTCAAGTTATTAATAATATTATTATTTTTATTAGCATTTTCTGTAATTTTTATGTATATTTTAAAATTTAAAGAGATTTTAAAATAAAAATAAAAAAATTTAGAAAAAGGTTAAAAAATCTGGGCCAACCCAAAGCCCGACCCGCTCAGGCCCGGGTCCGGGCCAGGCCTGAGGCAACCGGGCCCAGGGTCCGGGGTCCGGGGTCCGAGCTCCGATTTTGCCTGACCCGGGCCTGGTTTTCCGAGCTGGGCCGAGCCGAATGGTCAGGCCTACTTATATGTGTGATTGCTATTTTGTTATGAAACTCACCCTTTTTACTTATGCTTGTAATTGAAACGTAAATATTTTCGAGAGTAAATTTGCTGTTCGGTTACCTTTCAAGAATCTATGGCCTAATATTATGCCCACAGTGGTGTTTTGCTGAATTATTTTGGTCTCTCTGAAGCTAGGTAGCCTTCTCCAACAAAGCCATCACAGTTCATGAGTTGTAGCTTCATCTTTCAATTCCTTTTTTTCCAAGGGATTTCTTCCTTCCTTTGGGGGGTTACCGATGTTTTATTATACCCATCTCATTCTGAGTGTTATCCTATACACGAAATCTTTGTACGGGTATTACACGGTACTTTTTGGCGTTTCAAGGAGCATTGGGATTTGCTCCCAGGTTCTTATTAATTAATCTTGCTAATTTTATTAAATTTTCTTTTGTAGAACTTGATGCGATCACAAATACTTATTATTGTCATAGGAGCTAACGACAAGGTACAATTTATGAACTAGAGGAATTCACATTGTTGTCATTTTAATTTCAGGGCTAGGTACCATTTGATGACAATAGATAGAAGTGAAGGAATTATGAATATATTGTAAGTGCCAAGTACAAGTTCTCTTTATTTCTTTGTTTTAATATATGTATTAATAGTTTACATATGTAATACTAAAAACTATAAATTATGCAAAGTTCATCAAGTTCTAGTTATTTATTTGTTTTTAAAATATATGAATTGTTTATATATTTACTTTATAGGGGGAGAACCAATACAGATTGAGCGGACAAGCAATGGAATTCAAGCAGCTGAACACCCATGTTTGGGAAGCCTTTGAGAAGGGGGCAGGATATCACAAGCAAGGAAGTAGATGATAGAAGAATATAAAAAGATTATAAATATGTCTCCTTTCATTCTAATTGTAAATAAATATATAAATAGAAAATTAGTTATTACAATTATGTATCGCTCTAGTATTTTGGTGAATGTATTATTTGAATATAATTGGATTTGATATTGGAGTATAATTAGACAGTGTTGGATATGAATATGATTTGGTGTTGTGCAATATTATGCATATGTACATGTGATATTATATGCTGTGCAAAGTAGATTCTGCAAAAAAAAAAATTGTAGCATCCTAGACGGAATTTTCGTCTAGGATGCTTCTTCCTAGATAGAAATTTCGTCTAGGATGCTCATTCGTCTACGATGGGTATCCTAGATGGAATTTTCATCTAGAAAGCATCCTAGACGGAATTTTAAATTCTGTCTAGGTTAACTTCCGTCTAGTTAGATCAATCTAGATGGAATTCCGTCTAGGTTGAGTCAACCTAGATAGAAATATCTTAGACGGATATTAATCTACTTAGACAGAATTCTTAGCATCCTAGATGGTTTTTTCCATCTAGGTTGATCGTTTTTCTACTAGTGATATGTAGGAAATGAACTTTTTTAGGTCTAACCAATTGATTAAGGATAGGTTAGACAAACTAGCCTTAACTGAGAAGAGACAAAGGTTTATTGAACACGTAACTAATATGAACTTAATCCTGGAACAATGCTTTATGATGATAGGGAGGACTAGTCCCAACCATAGTTTGCTGGATTTATTCTTCACGTTCTATAATACTTTAAAGGATTCATAGGTGAGGCAATATGCTGTTCGGCAATTTTAGGTTGGCAGTTTGGAGTTGTAGGCTAGTTTATCTTTTTCTATTTCAATAATTATTATTTTTATATATTGTTATTTGTTTAAGTACATAGTGTTGTTATAATATTTTGATTAAACTTGGGTGAATTTTGATAATTTGTCAAATGATTTATTTTGCATATCTTGAATTTTGGATAGTAGACACCCTTATTTGTATTAATTTTAGACCTATGAACAATGCACTTTTATTTATTTTCCCAAACTTTTTTGTTAATCAGAAATTTAAAAAAATTCTAGTCATTACCATTAATTTTAATTTTATCTTTTAAGAATTTTATATTGTTATAAGTGTATTATTAGAAAATAAAATTTCATTTTAACTTTTGATGAAATGATACGGGAATGAGAATGAGACTGTCATTCCCACATTATTCTATGAACACACACAAACATAAGAATGGAAATGAGCATTTCATTCCCACATTCATTTCATTCCATTCTTTCCTCTATTTCATTCTCACTTGAGTCTATTCCTACGTACTAAATGAGGCATTAGACTTCACCTCACCTAACTGTTGGGAATATTAGCTGTTTAGACAATAATTAACACGAGATACAGTTAATAATTTTCAAATAATAATAGGTTAATATTATAACCCAAATGTAAGAAATAATTCAAACAAGGTTAGAAATACGGCCTGATGATCGAAGCGTGCAAAGCACTGTCCCACTAAATGAGGCATTAGACTTCACCTCACCTAACTGTTGGGAATATTAGTTGTTTAGACAATAATTAACACGAGATACAGTTAATAATTTTCAGATAATAATGGGTTAATATTATAACACAAATGTAAGAAATAATTCAAATAAGGTTAGAAATACGACCTGATGATCGAAGCGTGCAAAGCACTGTCCTAAGAAACTAATTGCCCCCTCTCGTACAGTGCTACGCGGCAATAGATCTCAGAGATACGATGACCCTCGGTCAGGCGACCTCCTTCTCGTTGGCACGAGCTTCAAGAAGGTTTTGCGAATTCTTCACCACTTTCAGGAAACCAGCAAGAGAGTAATAATATGAAGTTGTAATTCGAAAAGAGGAAAGAAGAAAGTAGTATTGTGTTCTCAAGAAGTTTTGTAGTATGTTTTTTCACACTGCTCTAGCTCTCACGACTGCAGAACCTTTTATAGGGTTCAAACCCTTCTTTAAATTAGCTAGCCGTTACCCATAAATCCCGCAATTAACATATTTTAATTATTCACCCATTAATGTATTAATGTTAGCTGTTTTCTATCATTTAGATCCATAAATCTGTGGTATTTTAATTATAGCAGTTACAAAATATTTAATCCTAACCGTTACAAAATGTTTATCACATTTTAATTGTTCAAAAATAAATATTACATTTTAATTGTTCAAAAATAAAAATGTAGTTGATTAATGGCCCCTCAATCCGGAGCTGCATTCGTGTCTGCAGGTCGTGTGCGTGCGCCACCCGACCCCGAGCCCGACCCGGCCGGCGCGCGTGTGTGTGGTGTAGAGCATAACCTTTATTTTCTTCTAGGCATAGAAGAGAAAGGGAACGCTTATAAAGAACCTATCTTCCCATCTCTTTTCCAATGTGGGACTAAATTTTTTCTCTTTTCCTCTACAAACCCAAGTTTTAAGTTACAAGTCCAACAATCCCCCACATAACTTAAAACTTAAAATAACTCAGAAATAATAGTAAAATAAAAACAAATAAATAATATTGTTGGTTCCATTATACTATGTAATAGGTGGAGGCACCTTTTGGTTTGAACATTCACTTCACTTAGTGATAGTTGTATAGATCCGTGAGAGCTTGGTGGACTACGCCTTGAACCAGTCTCATTTATCTTCACTTAGTGATAGTTGTATAGATCCGTGAGAGCTTGGTGGACTACGCCTTGAACCAGTCTCATTTATCGGATTTCTACAGAGAGCTTGGTGGACTACGCCTTGAACCAGTCTCATTTATCGGATTTCTACAGAAAGCACACATAGTACATTTTTAAAGAATTCTAAACGGGTTGCACTATTATCGGCCTTGCGCAGGTATCTTTCATGTGTATTACTAGGGAGCAGCCTTGATCCCATAGTCGCGGCCTCACAACTACACACATATAGGTGAATCCTAATAAGGATGCGAGCAAGTAAGCATCCTGCCTCATGGGTCTTGGATTCATTAAGAGATTAACTCAACCTTTCACTTGCTTTTTATGAGCACTGATCACCCTAGGGATGGGAGCAAATAAATTTAGTGCTCCTCACAATTAATCACTCATTTAGTTTGTTTCTACCCATTGAACCTCTGCGAGGTTGGGTTGCCACTGCAATGATTTTTCTTATGGGCTTAACCACATCCCCCTCGATGATTCTAGGACCACTGCCCTAGATAAGCCTTTAGTTAAGTGATCTGCAAGATTTTTCTCTGGTCTTACAAAGTCTAAGGCTATTATATGATTTTTCATCTTATATCTCAAGGATTTGTGTCGCACTTTCAAGTGTCGATTCATTTTCACATCTGCATTCTCTTGATGGCATTTGTCAATCGCATTAATGGAATTTCAATTAGTAAATCTTTCAACCATTCAGCTTCTATACTAGTAGTATCAAGAGCTATCATTTCTGATTCCATTGTACTTCTAGCCATTATAGTTTGTTTAGTATATTTTCAGGACACAACCCCTCCTCCTAAAAGGAACACAAAACCAGTGGTGGATTTTACATCTACTGAGTCACTAATCCAATTTGTATATGAGTAGTATTCTAATACAGATGGATAACCTTTATAATGTAAACTATAATTTATAGTTCCTTTTAAGTATCTCAAAATTCTTTCTAAAGCATCCCAGTGACTCTTATCAGGATTTGATGTATATCTACTAAGTCTATTTACTGCATAAGCAATGTCAGGTCTGGTGTAGACTGTCAGGAATCCTAATGATCCTATTATTTGTGCATATTCTCTTTGTAATTGAGGATGACCTGTATTTTTTTTAGATGTACATTAGGATCATATGGAGTAGAAACAGGTTGACAGTTTGGATCATAAAAATTCTTGAGGATTTTCTCTATGTAGTGTGATTGTGATAACACATATTCATTCTTATTTTTTATGATTTTAGTATTAAGAATTAGGTCAGCTTGACCTAAGTCTTTCATGTCGAATTTTTGTGATAAGAAGTGTATGATTTCATTTATGGTTTGTATGTCAGAACCAAAATAAGAATGTCATCAACATATAAACATAAAATAACAATTTTATTGTTATTGTCTATTTTATGATATACACACTCATCTGTTTGATTAATTTCAAATCCATAAGATAGTATAATCTCATCAGATTTTATGTGCCATTGTTTTGGAGCTTGTTTAAGACCATATAGTGATCTAATAAGTTTGCATACTTTCTTCTCTTGTCCAGAAGCTATAAATCCCTCAGGTTGATCCATATAGATTTCTTCATCTAAATCTTCATTTAAGAATGCAGTTTTAATATCTATTTGATGTATTATTAATTTGTGAATAGATGCTAGAGCTATAAGGACTCTAATGGTAGTAATCCTAGCTACTGGAGAATAGACATCAAAATAATTAATACCAGATTTTTGTGTATATCCTTTAGCTACTAATTGTAGGCATATAAAATTGCTTATAGGTCCCCTAGCATAGCTCGGCACAAACCGACGAGCCAACGA